ATATACACACACACATACATATACATACATACATATATTGAAGAAACTTATTTTTGCCATTGAAAACTAAAACAGTATGGCAAAACTCATCTTTAATCTGTATTTAATAATTAAAAAACAGAACAAGATTTAAACTGATGTGCCATAATTATATGAAACAAAGTTGATAAAAAATGATTTAATTGCTCAGACAAAAATAATCAGTAAAACAAAGAAGATTTTGCTGACGTGCTCCTGATCTAGAGAGTTACGATGTTTTAACTGGGATGGCTTCTCACCAGGTGGTGTCTCCGGAACTGGTTAGGATCTGGCTGTCATCCAAGAACCGACAGCAGGACAAATACCCTGAAAATAAACGAGACGCATTCATTGAAGAGAAACAGCTTCTCTTCCTACTGAGCGTCTGAGTGTGGACTTTAAACTTAATCTGCAACAGAGTAAAGGAAGTTTAACAGCTGCTGTAGCCTGAGAAAATAACTTCTGTGAAGTGGGAATGTTTGTAGAAGACAAAAGTACTGGAACAAGTTTCATTAAATGAATCAGATGTGACAAAAATTTTAAAAAGTTGACTTTAGGTTGTATGAACTGGGGTTGGGGGGTGGGGTAAAGAATGTTTGTAAAAATCAGAAACAAACTGAGGTGGCCTTGCACCCTCCGTCTTGTTTCTGCTTGCCCCATGCCTACCTGTGTGCCCCGGTAGCTCTCGGGTGACACGCACGTTGCCCTCGCGGGTCTTCAGGCTGTATATGGAGCAGATGTTGTCAAGACCTCCACAGGCCACATAGTTCCCAGAGGGGGCGTAGGCGCACGTCATCACCCATGAAGAACGCAGCGGGATGGCATGCATCTGATTAGAACAGGCAAGTCAGAATCATTCCTCAGTTTCATAAAATGCAACGGGGGGGGCTGCTGTAGCTCGGTGGTCAATGCCAAGATCTCGAGCCCAGGTTGTGTCAGGAAGGGCATTCTGTGTATAGCAATTGCCAAATTTCTCATACATATACAAACAGGTTGGGAACCACTGTTTTAGACAACCTAAATTTCTATAAAATCCAAATCCGTGTTTGCATTTTATAAGGACTAAATATCAGTTTGAGACAAATCCTTCCAACAAAAGTGTGAGTTTTAAAATAAACCAATAAAACACACGGTGCCGGTGATCTTACCTTATTTGTTGTGTAGCTGTCCCATATGATGAGCTTTCCATCTTGTGAGGCACTGACAAGTAACCTGAAAACAAGTTAAGCAGAGCAGCATGACACTCAGCTCTTCAGTTGGAAACCTTTAGCCTCTATGCTACATGCACGTTGTTTATTAAAAGCAAGAAGAAGCAGCCATCTTACAAACTGTATTACAAGGCGCTCAGTCAAAAAGCAATCAGCGTGAGCTACCAGCTCCTWCTTTCCCAGTCCTCTTTTCCTCCTTCCTCTCTGCTAGAAGACTCCTCACCCAAGAAACACATTTTTAATGTCCCACTCTGTGTAATATTTAATGGTTATGTAAAGTCCCCACTGTCAGGTGGGAGGTGGAAAACTGACAGGTTGAAAAAGTACAAAAAAAAAGGCTGAACAATAAAAACAGAGGCAGGCCGAGTGAGAAAACATAAATGATGAGAGTGAGCGAGGTTTGTGGATGGCACAGATGCAGAAACAGCTGGAACCCCACCCTCCCATCCTGACAGGGTGTTTCTGTCTCTCCAGGGACAGGAAGTGGTTTGATGGTGGTGCGGAACAATCAAGAGGAGCGGCATCACGCTCAAATGTCAGAGGCTGTGTACAAAACAAACACTGGTCCCCCTGGAGGGTCACCTACAGGGTGCTCGGCACACCCATGCACATTCACACCTTACAACCAAGAAAACAATAAAAGGACTGAAAAGCAGCTGCAGCGGCAAGGCCTTCGCAAACAAAAATCATGTTTGCTGTTAAATACTGTTGATTTATTATGCTCCATTTTGTCTTGTATCGTAAACATCTGCTACCCAGGATTAAAGGAAACACAAAAGACTCATAAAGTTCCTTAGGGGAAAATTTGTAGAATTATGGCTAAATTAATGCATACAAAAAT